GCACAGAAGAGATTTCTTTGCAGTCCTGATCAGTTTAAGGATAACTCGAGCCCTGGAGCATCAGCATTCATCTAACTTTTACACATTTCTGTCCTAACTGATGTGAATGGGTTTGTGTCATATAAATGTCTAATTCTGGTTTTGAATCTCACTAAACTCTTGATTTTGATGTTGCCTTATTTTCAGGAGGTGCTGCATTTAATTCTGTGGTATTTTAAAGGTATCTGCTACTATTAGTTTTAAATGTATGACTTCATGCATTTCTTCAAATGTCACTTTCAACTTACACTACAAAGAAGGTAAATGGGAGCAATATTCTCCACTCTTTTGTATACTGTATGCAAATAGTTCTTAGCTCTTTCCTCATGCAGAAGGTTCTCAATGCTCCCTCAGCCATTTTTTCCATCTTTATTTCTGCTCTAATTCTTTGCTTATGGTGCTCCTGGACTGAATACGGTATTTTAAATTAGGTATATTGTGAGGTACTATTTTTACCATTGCTTTTTCTCATTCTTTATTTGTCTTAGCATGTTGTTTTGATTTTTCTGATCACCACTGAACATGGAGCTCTAGCCTTCTACACCAGCTGGCAGCAGTAAGACCCATTTATTCAGTTTCTCTATTTTAAATGGAGTTAGATAAATACTTATCTGCCCTGTGTATGTTCTGTGGCCTGTAGGAGATTTCTCAGTAATTCCAGTGTCGCTGTGTGTGTCTTTACAGTGTGTCTGTCAGACTTCAGTTCAACCAATCCCTCTAACATGCATAAGATTTTAGTATTATTAATGCCTCATTTCATCTAGATAATGATCTTTTCAAGTATTCCATCGTCTTCATGATTTACTTGCAATGTCAGATAAAGATCTTAAGCTAAGTATTATGAAATAATAGAAATCTTTATTTTATTTGAATACAATCAGGATAAATGAATCCAGTAGAGTCTGATGTTAAGCAGGTGCAGTTCTTAGCAGCATCACATGTAAAATCAGGGTAAGTGCTTTGAACGCTCAGATCTTAACAGATGTGTTATTTTTCTCCATACGTTATAATAAAATAAGGATTTGCTCTGAAAGTATTGGCACACTAAGCAGTCTTGGCAAACACGCCATTGTATTCCTTACACAATATTAGCTGTGGCTATTATTTAACTTTAAATAAACATGTACATTAAATAACTGTAAACCACCTATATGTATAAACAAAATCAGGTTTTGTCAGAAAGTAATTTTTTTTTTTGCTTTCTTGTTTACTGACGCCTAGATAAGGAATGCTGCATCTCCAAAACAACATCTGTCAAACCGATTTTCATCAGATTAAGTATATCCTCAAAGCAACCATCACAGTGTACAAAATACTGGAGATGTAGGTTGTGCTTTGCATAAAACACCAATAGAATTTAAAGCACTCGAAAGTGTTTTACAAATGTAGCGATAATAGCCTGTGCGTATTCTCCATTTTTGTTTCTATTTTTAGTAGGTTCTTGGGAAGGATAAAAAGTGATGTTGCAACACTGCAATCCCAGTGGATGTCCCAGAATACAATTACAGAGCAATGGTCCTGGCAGCTAGTCTGGGTCCACAAAAGACAGTGGTTTGAGAGTCTGGCAGTAGAGATTGAATTTATTGTGAAAAAGTTCATCTGTAGAAAGATTGCTTTCATTAAGAATTAAATTAAAGCGTGAATCAGTGACTGATTATCCAGGCCTTTCTCTGATCTGTTGAATTCTTCATTAGTGTAGATGTGTGATTATATATGCTCTAGCCTGATTCTGGTTCTATAGATCATGAAAGGTAACTAATAATACTAAATTTTTAAAGATAGTTTCTGGGACAATGTAGTCTGGTAAAAATGAGGGGAAAGCCAGTGGCTTTAACATAGGACATAAATAGAGACACACTCAATCATTCATGTTTCTGGCCAGCTTTCTGTCTTTTTCCCTGCTAGGGAATAATTGCTGTGTGAAAATGAGCTTCCTAATAGGGTGGTGTGTCTTCCGTAGGAGTGAAGCATTTTGCCTCTGTAATCAGTTAAGTAGAGAGGTGAAGCCTCATTAATAGTGTGCGCCCGCAGCTGAGTGTGGGAACTCATCAGCCAGAAATGAATGCCAGGATTTCTGTAAAAGGTATTTGTGGATGGAGGGTAGAGGCACTTGAGCTGGAAGCCAGGTCAGCATTCCCATTAGTTCTTGCTTTTAAAAAGAAGTTGGAAATCTAGCGTAAACCAAGAAGAGTCCAGTCAAAAATCCATGGAGAGGACAAACAAGGGGGAAAGTCAAGTACAAATCTGTTCCAGTTACATCTTGGTGTAGATACATTTTTGTAACTCTGATTTCCTATTAGGTTGTTCCCTGTGTGTTACTGAATTGCCCTGTGCTATCCTAAAATGTTCCACACGAACCCTAGGCGAGTTCGTGTGAGGTGTTTTGCTGCCTACCACACACCCGTGGGATAGTCCTAATTAGCGTCCTTTTCCTAAGTGCAACTGAAGAGGGACACAGAACCAATTGTGTACAAACAAGGCTAAATATGTTAATTCATGATAGAGTTCAAGATAAATACTTTATATCTGAAGGACATAGTTTTTGCTAGGAAAATGGTAATGCTGATTTTTGTTGTCTTTATAAAGAGGTACTAACTGGTTCTGTGGTACTACCCAAAATATAAACCTCAGACTGGATTTTAGCTTAACTGAATATGAAGATGATCTTTATAGGATCTTCAGCCTCGTTCCTTAGACAAAAGAACATACAACTAAGTAAAAATAATTATGGAGATGTACCAAATATTCTAACTCTATCCAGCTCTATTGTGTACCCAGGCAACTTAACACTTGCAAGCTTGGGTTCTTTGAATATTAATAGCATGACATTTCAAACAGATGACCATGGTATCTGAAAAGATTTTGCAGTTTGCAGCAGGAAAATCTGTGTTTGAAACAACCGTTATGGACAGGATTCATTCTGGTTGTAATTTTTGACCAAAACCTTGGAGCATTTAAGTTGTTTTTAAAGCAAGAAATATAAAATGCAGCAGATAATACAGTGTTGTGATGGGCAGACAAGCCATAGCATGTTCAGCAAATATGGGCTCTTTTTGGGAAGTGTTGATTTGAATTTCATGCATCATCCAAGCATAGTGAACACTGAAAGGTCATGGCAAGAATATAAGAAAAAAAAAAGTCTATCTGATTTGAATTTCTTACTGTCCAATATTGTTAATAATGCAATGTCAAACAAATAACTGTTTCTCTGAGTGTGACTAAAGCCAGATTCCATGTATATAGAAGAATAACTTGCCACACAATTTTTTTTCCAGTTACTGTTCATTTCCTTTATAATGTCATGGTGTTAGTTTGTGAATGGTACCTCGAGCCTCTGCAGTATCTCTGTGTTTTCTCAGTCAGAGTTATTTCTTTGAGTTTGTTACTCAGCATCCAGAAAATCTCATGCAGACTAGTATACCAATTGGCTCAATACAATTAGGATAAAATGAAAGTGGATTGCTATTGATCTTTGCTTGTTATTAGTTTATACTAACAGAAAATCAGATTGAAGAAGTCTAACATAGCTATCAAAATATTCCTTCTTATTGCAGGGAATATCGCTGGTACTCTTAAATTTAGGTGTTCTAGAGCAGAACATCTTTCCTTTCTCTCTTTTTCTAATCATGTCTTTGTCTTTCTGACTTGCTAAAATTTTCTAGAAGGGATGAGTCTTGTTAAATAACTAGAGTGTTCAGAGACTGTGTAGCAATACCGTGAGTTAAGCAGGGCTCAGGCAATATTTATTAGACCATTATATCAAGGTCTAATACTGTGCTGCTTGTTACCTTAACTTCACATAACATCTTATTAATAAATCTTTACAAGCTGTGTAGTTGTAAAATGCATCATAATAATGAGTATCATTCCTCTAATAAATCATTTGATTTGTGTTTACTTTGTGTTGTGCCAACCTCATCAGCCATAACATCACAGGGTAGGGACCCTTCAAGTTAATGAACCACCTGCTCTGAGTCCTCAGTTACCAACATGCTCAGAGGGGGAGGCACAACTTCACCTCTGCACTCTCCTTCCCTTTGCAATGCCTCAGGTTACTTGGTTTTCTTACAGAAGTACTACTGCTATTGTGGAGATTTCTGGAGCTCCTGCTCTCAATCCTTTTGCAGACTCCATGCAAATGTATGGTTTTTCTTGCCCAGGAGACCACTGAAGTTGCTGAGTATTTATAATTTAGACACTGTGGCATTGGCTACACCAGGGTTGAACAGTTAGACAAGGCTGCACTTCGGCCTCCGTGTAGAGGTGGTCAGTGCAGTAGATCGGTGGCGCAGAGAAATGGATGGCTTGTGCTGACCAAGCTTCAGAGTTGACTTCTTCCTGTGGAGAGTCTGTTCGTATTGGCATGGATGGGCATCTGCAAATGAAGAAGCACGGCAGACTTTGCTTTATGTTTTTTCACATGTATTTTATTGCAGGCATGATTCTCCTTCTGTGTAACAGAGTAAATAAATGTCTGCTTGAAAATCTACGATTTAAAGTACTAGATGTTGTTCTTTCTGAGACTCAGAATCTTAATCCATTTGATTGACAGATATAAACTTGAATTTTATTTTATTCTCCTTCACAGCAGTACGTTTCATCCAACTACAGTTTTCATTGTTGCAATACAAATATACTAAGGCTAAAGTACTGCTGCCAGCTTATATATAAAATTTGAGGATTAGGAAACCAGTGCAAACAAAGACTCTCAGCTTTAAGTAAGGAACAGAGTGCTGTTGGCCTAACCTTCTACTGCTGTCACAATTAATGCAAAGTATTGGCAGCCAAAACTTACGGGTCTGTTCTTGGCTGCAGTAAGTACTAGTAAGGCAATAGTCCTTTGAAGACGAAATTTGAAACATTAATTGCCAAAATGCCACTTTTTTTTTCACTGTGTGATGTACTTTTCATTTTTACCTTCTAAACAATTTGTACAAATAATCCCTCTTATTTTTTTTCAGCCCACCTAAACCAACGGTGTTCATCTCTGGTGTCATTGCTAGGGTAAGATTACCATTAAATTTCTTTCAATCATAGAAAAATTATTGTAGACTTTTCAGAATTATCACTGACCAGAGCAAAATTAATCTTTTTCATTCCCCTTCCTCTCTTATGAGAAGAGGCTTTATGGTTTGTGTATTTGTGTAAGTCCCTTTGAGCATTCTTTTTGGTTTTGTGTGAAATTGAAATTATTTATTGAAATTACTTCCACCATTTTACTTTGAATTTTAGCACTTTAAAATGTATTGGACCTTCTTTTCGTATCTAAGCTAGATATTACTGCATTCATTTCCTTTGAAAGCAGTTGCATGTTAAGTCTGCTGCTATAGCTTGATCTGTGATGAGGAGCGATGCTCCTGCCTGTAGAGGGATATGTGTTTGAACATACATGTTTCAGCTGCCATCTATGCCTTGAGGTACTTGGGTTTCAAGGCGTTATTCCCTGGATTTTAACAGCAGGCAGGACCTGGAAATCCATGAGCTAAATCATTAGTATTAACTAGCCATTAATTGCATGTTCAGTAGTTCATGCCCTGTGTGTTGTGACAGGGTTTTTATTGTGGCTTTACATGATGGGTACCTTTATCAGGATGGCCTTGCGTTACTGGGGTGTGTACTGTGGTTTACTCTAAGATGTTGTGGTTGTGGTGAAAAGAGCAAGCTGATGCCAGTTTCCCTAGCCCATGAGGGCAGTAGACAGGCAATGCTGTATTTGCTGGACCTCCATCTGCACCAAGGTGGGTACCTAAATTACTTCTAACGAGTTGTTGTATTAATGTTTAGTCATTTTGGTAGCACTTTAATAGTTGTAGGGTAGTGATTTTTTTTTTTATGAGTGACTTAGGAAATCTCAGGCATAAAAAACACATTTAGTAGGCATGCAAAAGATTCAAAATGGAGAGAGACCTTTATTAAGAGACCTTATCTTAATTTTGTAACTCAGCTCTTCTTTAGCTACTCAGTTACTTGATAGGGTACTATACTTATCCTCAGTAAGCTGTCAACTGCAGGTTTATTTATTAACCTATGAAGAGCAATTTTCTTGGAAATCATTTTCTGAAACTTTATAGCTCCTGAACATGTAACAAAATTTCTTCTTTATGTAATAAACAAGACCTAGCAATGCTTTTTTGAACCCAGAGGTTTATATACTATAACCTGTGCTGTTTAATGTCTTTATCAGACAGAAGGCTTCTCGTCAGGTTTGTGGATGGCACCAAATTGAGAGAAACAATTAATAACTTTGAGGGCAGGGCTGCTACTCGGAGGGACATGGACAGGCTGGAACAATGACAGGCAGCAGCTGGACATGAGCCAGCGACATGCAAGACAGCAAGAAATCAAACAACATCCTGGGCTGTTTTAACCAGAAAGTAGCTGGTAGATTGAAGGAAGGTATTATCCCCCTCTGCTCAGCACACTTTAGACCACATATGGAATAGTTCATCCAGTTTTGGACACCCCAGTGTATCAAAGGTATTGATAAACCAGACCGAGTTCACTGGAAGGCCACCAAGGTGGTCAAGGGGCTGGAGCACTTGCCCTGGGAGAAGAGGCTGAGGGATCAGGCCTTGTTTAGCGTGCAGAAGAGATGGTTTTGGGAGGACCTAACAGCAGCCTTCCCACATCTACAAGGAAGTTACCAAGAAGATGGAGCCAGGCTGTTTGGAGTGGTGTGTGGCAGGCAGATGAGATAACAGACACAAATTGAAATGGAAGGGCCTGACTAGACATCAAAAATAAAATTTTTCACTTGAGGACATTGAGGCAGTGGAGCAGCTTGCCTGAAGGGGCTATTCTGTCTCTGTCCTTAGAGGTTTTCAAGATCAGACTGTATAAAACCTTGAGGAAGTTGGTCTGATCTCACATCTAGCTCAGCTTTGATCAGGAGGTTGGGCTAGAGATATCCTGAGGTCCCTTCCAACCTGAATTATTCTGTGATACTTTGATTCCAAGATAGGCGTTTCCTGCTAATATTGACAGACTGACTGTCATCTGCTCAGCTGTTACAGTACCCACAAGTCATAGAAATGCTGCATTCACATCACTCATTTGAGACAACAAGGTGTGAGGGGTCAGAGAGGTATGGAAAAGGCAAACAGCAGCATCAGGGGGAAAGAAGGTGGAAAATGTCAAATCTGAGAAGAGGAGATCTTTGCAAATTGGGAGGAGTTCATATTAGAGAAAAAATTGAAAAAATATAAGAAGTTATCTCGTGATCAAGATTAAAAAAAAAAGTCAGAATGAAAAGGAAGAATTTGGAGTAGATTGAAATGGGGTCAGGTGTGAAACAGGCCATCTGAGATGTGAGCTTTCTACAAAATAACCTCTGTGTAAGGTTGTCACACCATGAGCTAAGGGAATGCAGGGAGTTTCTGGCTTATGATATGTTTCTAAAGAGTGAAGTTGTGGTGCTATTCTCCCCCACACCCCACCCCACCCCCATCACTGAGCACTTGTAGTAGTTGTTTCCCATTGTTTTTTGAAAACCTCGTGGGACTGACCCTAGAAATGACAGTTGTAAATAGGAGGCATAAGGGTTACGGCTGAACTGAGCCTGCCCAACAGCAACACCAGCAGACCTGGTTAAAAGAGCATGTTAAACTTAAATGCCAGTCACCCCTAACACTTGAGTCAAAAGTAGTTTTAGATCCTGCCTTTCTTCCTACAGAACTGGCATTTCTACAGTAGGTTTTCTTGTGCAGGTAGTTTTTCACACTGCCTTACCTTATTTGTAAAATAGTCTCCTCTTTCTGGTTGCTTTCTGAAAACCAAACAAGTCAAGGAGATCTGACTGTGCGGAGCCAGTGAAAGTGACTTAGCACGAGGAGCTATGAAGCACTGAAGATAGGAATATCTGGGTTGTTTTTTTTTTTCCCTTGGGTCACTTTAAGATACTGTGTTCTTGGATTGTGTGCATAATTGGAAGAAGTGAAACTTGCTAAGAGAAATTTTGAAGTTGGCTAAAAGAATGGCAAGATAGGATGTGTACAGGGGGACTTCAGCGTAACATGACACGCTGTTTTCCATCTGCTTTTCACTTTTAAAAAAACTTACATCCAGTTGAACTGGAAAGTATGCTTTTACGATTTCTTAAATTTTTCCCGGTGTGTTCTTTGAACAGGGTGATAAGGACTTCCCTCCAGCTGCAGCTCAGGTGGCTCACCAGAAACCACATCCTTCTGTGGAAAAGCTTCCTCACCCGCAACATGTCAAACAGCACATCCACCAGCCTCGCAAGTGAGCTCTCCATCAAAATCTCAGCCAACTGCCATCAGTGAATTAAGTTTTCGAGAGAAGATGAAAACCCTTTAGGATGCACACTGTCAAATCAGTAAAATTGACCTCTAAAATAATATGCTGTTTCTTCTACTTTAATTCTCAAGGGTTAATAAGAATAAAGACATTGTTCAGTTGTTATCCCAGATGGAAAATTCTCTATTAATATCTGCTGATTAGGGGTGGGGGTTTTATAAGATTTTCTTATTGCCAAGATAAAACTTTAGCATGAATAATATGGTTAATGAGCTTAAGACTTGTACTTTCAGTTGTGGCATTGAAATAGCAGATAGTTAAAGTAGTTTTTATGCTAAGCCGTTAAGGAAGAATAGCCCTTTTGTACTGGTACCTTTACTATCTGGAGGGAGTTTGTTGTGTGTGTTGAGACAGAAATTGGTGGTTTTCTTGATTACATAGAACCCTTGCAGACTTCAGTATCCTATGGTGTTACACCCCAGTGACGGTGCCCTCTGGTTTCAACTAGTGAGATAAGGGCCCAAAAACATTCTCAAGTGGGCAGAAATCCAGCTGAATCATCTTTACACTCCTTTGCACTTGCACAGTCTTGCTGAGGTTCTTCTGTTTGGAGGTCTGTGGGTATGGAGAGGGGAGTCAAAATCAGAGTTATAAGAACACTGCTACTGTAGGCAACTGATTTGTGATCTTGTGGGTCTCACTGGGGGCTGTATTTTTGCGAGGTGATGATTCCAACAACAAGCTGAAGGAGCTCTTGGCCATCCAACATTGAACTTAAAATAAACTGGTGAAAAATTTGTTTTCTTTTTTAATTTACAGTTTGAGATCACTGTTTGAAATTAGGAGATATCAGTAATAAATGTGTTTAACTTTATGACCCAGCCACTGTTGCACATCATATTTTTTCCTAGTCGTCTTATTGTGAATACAGACAGTAGTGGTATGAGGGAATAGAAAAGTTACTTTTCAAATAGAGCAATCAGATTAGTTTTGGCCACATAATTAAATCTTTTGATTGCACAGTTCAAAACCACTTAACTGTATTGTATTCCTTCTGCAACTGTAAAACCAGGAAAATATTTTTTTTAATGTTCCACCTGCACCTTTGAAGTGTACTTCTGGTTTTAGCTGACTATAAATACAGTACAGCCTTCAGTACCCTCTAGGTTTATAAACCTTCCAATGACATCAAAAAAGGGGGTACTGGAGGTAGTGCTGCAAACATTCACCTGCCAAGTCAGTGAAAGTTTGGGGTCACTTCATGGTTTAGTAGTTCATTTATGTTTAAAATCAAATAGTACAGAAAACCAGTAAGAGAGTTCTAAAAATACTATTTTTTTAAATTTCTGCAGATTAAGTAATTATTCCCTGAGTAGCTGATTTAAAACAACAAAGTAATGTGAAATATGGCCCATTTCACAAGTGGAATAACTCACCACTTCATGTGGATGAGGGGGACCTCGCATTTCCATCTCTTCCTGGGCTTGAAATGGAGATGATGTTTTGCAGAGGATATGCATGGGTATATTTATTCTACACCCAAGGAAGGATGTGCAATCCGTATGTGCAGTCCTTATTTTCAGTTTAATTAGATAACCATACTTGCCTTAAGGAACGAGCACTGTTTATAAGAATTACTCTGTATTAGAAGATGCGTAATTTTTAAAGTATGCTTTCTGTTTCTGATGTCGGTACGCCTGAGGCCTTATTCGTAGCCACTCATGAGCCTACAAATGAGTCACACAGGAGTAATCCATTCATAAGGGTAGCATTGTTGAGCCTCATGAAATATCTGCACCAAGTAATTTGCTGGCAGGAACATTTGCAGATTCAGGACAGAAAGCGGTGGAATCTCATTGATGAGGCAGCCGGTAGTGCTGTCGGTGTGCTGCATCAGCAATGAAGCAGATCATCTCAGTCACTTGGTACTGGTAGCTACTGGCTTGAGAGTGAGCTGGATGGGAATCAGCTCTCCTAGTCTTGTGCCTACATCTGAAGTAGTGTCTGGGCTCCAGCTATAGTCAATGGTGGTGTAGTCAAGACAGTCGGTAGAGTTTAGGTATGGTGTCTTTGACCAAATGGAGGTGTCAGGATGAACTGGATCACTCTTGACTCCATTGACTGCAGTGGAAAATGAAACTTCAGTGTAGAAGCACACAGTTAGGTGGAGCTGGGTACCTCTACCCTGTGTCTAGTAATAGCTGGTAGAAATGCTTCTGAACACAACACCACATTTGTTTTCTAATACTAAAAGTTAGGAACATGGATGCTTTTGAATTACAAACTACTGCTCCTGGTTGTTAATGCCTTATATACAGTGTATATAGACAGTACCTGAGTTTTGTCTTTGCTTACATAGATGGATATGTAAGTTTGTACAATGGAGTATGACTCTCAAGATAGCTTCAGTGGCTTTTAGAGTGCAGGAGTTCTTACATGGTTAGAAAATGTCTCTGTCTGAAAGCATGTTACATAGTTGGGATGTTTCCATGTTTATAGACGGCGTCCTTACCAAAGCATTACTTTGCCCAAAATAAAGAATTATAACGGATGATCTGGATTGCCTGCTGATGGTTATTGATACTTTTAAAATATGTTACAATAACATATAAGCAGAGGAGATGTTCAGATGTTACCATGAAATGATTGCAAAATAAAATTTCTGTAATTGTCAATGTGGCAATAGTGCAACAATAAAGCATGAAGCTGTATATTTGGCTCTTTTTTCTGTACGTACTATGTAAATCAGAGTGCTGTTTTGTGGGGTTTATGGGATTTTATTACAGAATGCTGCACTACGAATCAACATTTTATAGATAGTGAAATTTATTAGGAAGTGTTATGACATAGTGGATGGGCTGTTTTGGATAGTCCAGCCTTATTTAAAATAAACTAGATGCTGCCAGCTAGAATGGGATTTGCTGTTTTCCACTATGAAACTGGAGATCCTCACTCGATCTTTGCAAAGCTATAGAATCTAAGCCTGGTAATATTCAGTATGGTAAAGGAAATTAAATTCAACCTTTTCCATTGTTTTTCAAGTTCTAATCTTCTTTCAGAAAAAAGAAGTATTGCAATCAGAAGAGGTGGCAAGCTTCTCATAAAACTGCAGTTGACATTACATAGTGCATGCCATAACACAAGTGATTCACAAAAGAGTTTGGAGAAATGGCTGCAGTGTGTTTCTGGAAGCTTTCTGATACTTTGGGCATCCTATATTTAGTATATGTGTAGTGTGCATATAGTACAACAAATATATGTGGTACAATGCAGATACAGATTTACTGCCCTGGGACTACTGCAGTGTTAAATCCTTGGACTCTGCACTCATATAATGATGTGCTACATTATTCAAAAAATGTCTTTTTTGATTAAAATTTGAGGAAAATATATGCATGAAGTCTGACATGCTGTCTTGAATTGTCCGTAATTATTCCAAGTTCCATGGCCCTGCTATCAGGGCTAGTTAGAAATTATTTACTTCTAGTTTCAACAGTATGGTTTACTCTTTCATCATCAAATGTCCTGAAACATCAGTCTTGTACTTTCATCCCTGATAGTATGATCATCACATGCTCCTGGCTGTTTAATGAAAATACTGACAGCAGTCTGTTTCATACAAAGGTGAAGGGGATGGGTTGGACATACGTTTTTGTCACTTTGGAATACCTTTATGCTGAATACTCACCATCTTCACAGAGGATAGAGGTGTGGGTTTTAGAAACTACTTCTCATGTCCCACTCAGATTTAAGTATATCAAGTTTAAAATGAGATTTAAGTCTAGGCCAATGCCTTTAGCTATAAGGTTAAGATACATTAATTGCACTGTAGAAAATGTGGGGATGTCAGTAAGGGTACAGTTACTTTTACAGCAGGAAGAGATGTTGCTGGTCATATGCTGCAATGATGTAAGGAATTAAGAAGACAAATCTCTGTTTCAATTTGATTTCTTTGCACACAAACCTCCTGCCTCACAAGAATGGCTGAGGGATCTGGGGCTGTTTAGCCTGGAGAAGAGGAGGCTGAGGGGAGACCTTATCACTCTCTACAACTACCTGAGAGGAGGTTGAAGCGAGGTGGGGGTCAGTCTCTTCTCCCAAGTAACAAGCAACAGAACAAAGGAAAATGGCCTTAAGCTGCACCAGGAGAGGTTCAGGCTGGATATTAGGAAGAATTTCTCTACAGAAGGGGTTGTCAGGCATTAGAACAGGCTGCCCAGGGAGGTGGTGGGGTCACTGTCCCTGGAGGTGTTTAAGAGACAGGTAGATGTTGTACTTAGGGACATGGTTTAGTGGTGTTGGTAGAGCTAGGACAAAGGCTGGACTCGATGATCTTGAAGGTCTCTTCCAACCAAAACTGTTCTATGATTCTAAGATAAAAGACACTTAATGTCAGCTGTAACCAGCTATTTTTATCTGCTCTGTCAGTAAAAGAGGAACACAGATCATAGCGACTGGAGGAGCCTCGATAAGAAGAAACTGAGTCAAGTCTACAGCAGTAAATCTTCATCAGATTTCTTCAACAGATGGGTAAAATAAATCTGCATTGTAGCTGTAGCCTTTTGTAAGTGCTGTGCATGATTGTATTATGTAAAAATAGTAAAGATAATTACTAAGTACCTGCTTTGCTTTCATAAAGAATTCTTTTTTTGGTCAAAGTTTGTCTTATCACATCTCTGGCATGTACAGCTGTGGTTTTGGGTCTTCTTCAAGAACATGTATTTATTGCTTTTTCCTCATCGCCTATCAACAAAGAGACTGCATCTAGTGTATCCTTTTTTTTGAGTCTTCATAAAATGTTAGCACTAGTATTTAGATAGGAAGCCTGAGAGGAGAGGTGGAATGGGTTTTAGTTGACAAAGCACTCCATGATCAAAGAAGTCAGTTCTGTTGCAGAGACTGTTTCCCTTCCCTTCAGGATGCTGGTCAGAGGTAAGACAAAGAATAGAATACCTTTTTCTGAAAATGTAGTTTACTACTACTTGGAGCTGATGGGCATACATGGATGCTGATGATTTTTTGCAAAACACGCTCCCAACGCCGCCAGGGACAAAACTGAAACATGGATACTAAAGCCATTGCAGGCACAGATCTTGCAAGTGACCTTGAAAGAAGCCCTGTAATATAATCTCTGCTGCCCAGCTTGCGTTGGAGATATTTTTAGAAAACTCGACTGGCTGGCATGCTGTAGGTCACTCGTGGCTTTAGAAAAAGAAAAGCATTTGTAATCCACAGTGATTTTAAGGATTATAAAAATTGTTTAGCTGTTAGCGAGCTGTGAGCTCTCTATAGCCAATGGGGCAGGTGTATTACTTCGGGTAATACAAGTGGCACGTTGTGAAGGTTTGTAAAATAACTTCTTACAGGCCATTTTGGTAGGCTGCCGCAGGTGTCAATGGATGTCTGATACCGTGTTCAGAAGGATGATGACATCACCTTGTTACACACGGAGAAGTGAGTGCACTGGAGAGCACAGCAGCTAACCTGGCTTCCCTCTTAAACCAGAAGTGTCTGTTGAAATACAGAACAGCGGGTTTAGTTGAAATGAAAAGCAATAGTTAGCTACTGATCTCTGCATGCTGCCAGCAGCTGAAATAACTAGTATCTCGTCGTGTTTCAGA